CATGGATACTGTGTCTCATGTGCTGGGCCACTAGGTGCTAGATTAGCAGGGTTACCCCCTCCCTTCTCATCCCAAAAAAAAAAAAAGAATCAATAAAGTTACGCCCCTAACATGAACTAAAAATGTAAGAATATAATTAATCACAGACAAGGTAACTTTCGGCCTCAAAGCTTACGCAAACATGTACAATTATTTTTGAATAACCAGGAAACCAATACTCATTATCTGAGAGTGTGCTTTACGTAAACTTGCCTTGTGGTCTAACGACATAGGACCAAAAAGAATAAATCAGCTCAGGTTATCCACAATTGATTGCTCAAACCAAGACCACGGGAGTCAAATTTAAAACTCTCAATAGTTATCAAGCCAACAACCTGACCAACTTGAATTGTTCCCAACAGGTGCACCTTTGAACTTATGAAGGAGGGTAGCACCAAACAGTACTTAATTTGTGCTCATCTTCATTTCAGGTTTTACTTTGAAAATATATTGGACTATTTATACAATTCATGTGTGATAACTAGTATCTATTATAAACAAATAATTTTTAGACCAGAATTCACAATATAAAATGAATGATAGATCTCTAGTATAACAATTGAATCTCAACAACCCAAACATGATTGGAGCATGTAGCCTATGTCCCACAGTCTAGTAGGTCTCTCCCGAAACCTCTCTCACTTTAGCAATTCACAATATATAGACAATAGGCCATCACACTAATACATACTTAACCACTTGGAAACCTCCAAAGCTTAGAATCACTCACTCTTAGCTTCATCTCTACTCCATAGTTTAAACATCATCATGGCTTTCAGATCACAGGTAAGTACAATTTCTTGTTTTCATTTTTTCCAGAGAATAATAACATTATTAACATTTCATAATTATTTTTGTCCTTAATCATTTAATACACATTTTTAGAGAAAACTCTACTTTAGTCATTGTTTATTATGACATTATCGCATTTACTTTTATTTTTTTTTTTAATTTTACTTTATTATATCTCTATTTCTATTTGCTCGTCACAATTAATTTTTTGTTTAAAATATTGTCATTTTACCGTCTAATAAAGATGACTAATAGTCATTTTGTCATTTAAGTCGCTTACTCTAATATTCGATTTTTATCCTTATTTTTAATTGAACGATGCAATTACAAGTTAGTCATATTTATTAAATAGTAGAATAAAAATAATTATGACAAACGAATAAAAATTAAGAATGTAATGTGACAAAACTAAAAATTCATGATTAAATGTGAAAATATCAAGAACTAAAAGTGAAATTTTCTCCTTATTTTTATGTTATCATTGAAAATTACAATTTTAGCCCTTACCAAATTTAACTTAAATTCTTGTATGAATGCCCCGATACAGGCTTACTTTAAACATTAGGAATGAGAATCAAAATCATCGTTATGTTTGGTTAACAACTTTTAAAAACACAACTATGGATATGATTTAATTACCCTTTTAATTAAAAACATCTGTCATTCCCTAACATTCCATCTTATTAGTAATCTGATTTTTAAATTTTGTATTAGTGCTTTACTGATTTTAGATTTTTTGTTTTGATTTTTTTGTTCATATTCGTGTTCTGAATGTTGTTATATTAGGATCAATTACCTTAATTTTTTATATTTGAATTTTAAACCTTTATTATCATATTATAGGGTCATACTCATACATAACCAAATATTTGTAATTATTCTCATTCTATCCTATTACAAAAATCCATTACCACTACCAAGTATTTATTCTCATTCTAATTCCAATTCCCTTGTGCGAACCAAACACATTCTTAGTTCTTTTCAAAACATTCTCATTTGGTCATGTTATTATTGTTGTATGATGATTTTTTGTCATCCATCAACAAAATCATTGAGATGTCGTTAAATACAAGAACATTTTAATCTTTTTTTTTTTATACAAAGTGGTTTGACCCACTGCGGAGAGAAACGCTGCCGGAGTTGGTGGAGCCGGAGCACGTGGCGGCGGAGTCCGATCAATTCGTCAACAAATCTTTCTTCCGGAAAGTGGCTCACATCCAACCCACTGCGGCTCATGACCCCCTCGGTTGTGTTTATACTAGGTACTATGTAATTAAATTGATCTTTTAATCTTTGATTTAATTAATGCTGAATTATGTTTTTAACATTAATATTAATATATATTTAATAAACCAACTTGTTTGCAGGCACCCTCCGGTGGAGACGTTGAAATCTGTAGGGGTGGAGCCAATATAATGCCATGATTATTACGCAACGGAGTATTTATATATAACTATATATGTACATATATTATTTGTAGTTTGTAAGTTATACATGTAAAATATATAACACTTATTAATTATTCAGTACGGGGTAGTGTTTATTAATGGCGAGGGAAAAAATTGAACATATAGAAGTCATGTTGTTTGTTGGGTTACATTACAGTATATATGCACTTGCTAGTACATATTATGTTGCTATGCCTTTGGTAAACGCAGTTTCATTTTCTAATTTCTACTAATTTTTCTTCTAAAGTTAGCTCTCATTCTTTAATAAACTTGCGACATGTTTAGTTTACAGAATGAATTTTAAGAGAATAGACATATTATTTTATTATATAAAGAATGAAATAGGCAAAAAAATAGAACATGAATTGTACTCTATTGTATAGTTCACTGAATGAATAAAAATATTATTCCAGCCAGTGTTTGATTGATTTTAAGAAGTAAAAAATAAAATATATTTTTAAAAGACATAAACACATCGAGGTCCTTAGAATATATATATATATATATATATATATATATATATATATATATATATATATCACATAATATTTTTAGTTTGAAAAGATAACTTTGTCCCTAGGTCTTATGGTGAACTATGGCCAATCTAACCGAGGACTTAACAAAGTAACGTTTTAATAGTTAGAGGACTAAATCAAGCAAAAAATAAAATAGAGAACCTTTTTAAGTAAATCGCAATAGATGAGGGACCCCAGCTGGTATTATTGCTCATGCATTAGGTAGCTGGTAGTAGATATGACCGTGATTTGGTTCCGATTCCAAATTGCCGGTTCACGATTCTAGGACATAAACTAGAACTAGTGGCCCTTTATTTTTGTGTGTAAATTCTAGGTCTAGATTTTTCTATTCAGTGAATTACAGATCCTTTTCTATTTTTCGAATTTATTAGTTGATAGTACTAATTCCCGTACTAATTTCTGCGTATATAGGATGTATGTACCATATGTAATATGTATGAACAATGATGTAAAGTAGACAAGAGAAATTGGCTCAAAGATATCTCTTTATTCAATGTTATTCTTGTGTTATTTTGTAAAGAGAGAGAGAGAACAACAATCTAAGAGAGTGTGGATGAGAGGGGAAGTGAAGGGAAGAACCCTTTAATTGAAGGGCTAGATCAGAAGCCCTTTTATAGGCATAAGGTTTGGCGGGTTTGACCCGCCACCTTTGACCTTGACCTGTAGACCGGGTCCCAAACCATTTGACTCTGACTCGACTATAAACGAGATCATGACGTACCGGGGGTCGGTGCTAGGGTATATATCCTATCAAGTAGCCCCCCAGTCTGTGCCCTAACGACGATTTAACGAGGAAGGGTTCAGGCTGGAAAAACTGGTTACACGGTCTGTGACATGCGCCAGTTGCCTCGTTAAAAAACCTTAAGCTAATAAAAATCCTGCGGGAAAAAATTTTAGCTAAGGAAAAAGAGCACAACTCTAAGCGTAGTCTGGTAGGCTAAAAAAGGGGTTGCCTGACCTAGGGGTCGGTTATGCAACACGAGTTGCGAGACCGAGCATTGTCGATCTAACGATCGGGCTACTGACTATGACCGAGAGGTCGAACTTAACTGCGATATGATCTAGAGATCTACTTTACCGATCTAGTGATCGGATTGGCGGCGCGACCCTAGGGGCCGGATTTTACCGATCTGGGGATTGGGATGCTGGCTGCGACTGGAAGGTCGGATTAATTGCGCTCGAAAGATCTAACTTTACCAATTACGGGATTGGATTTACTTACGATCCTCGGATCAAACTCTTGCGCGATAAAGAAATCAAATTGCCCAAACCTAGGGATCGACTTGCACCAATCGAGAGATTGGACTTTTAACGCGGTCAAGCGATCAAGTATTACTAATCGAGAGATTGAATTTTACTCACGGTCTAGGGACCTTAACTACTCGTGCAGATCATAAGTGGGAACGCTCTTCCCAATGCCCTTCATTCGGGCTAACTAGTTGCGACTAGTTTGAGCTCGGTCAAACCCTGATCTAGATTACTCGACTAAAAAATCACCCTTAGTCGGTTGCGATTGGCTGGCTTTGATAATGGCATTAATCACAACTATGGGTTTTGGAAACCAAAACTATATCGACTGGAGTGCACTCGGTTTTGCGAACCAGGAGTCCCAAGCGAAGGGATACTATGAGGCTTGAAGGTCTAACGATAACGAGATGCGCTTTAAGAAACAACAATCAACTAAGAGGAGTTTATTCCCTTTTACGCTCGGTTTACGAACAGAGAGACCCCAAGCGAAGGGGTAGCTAAGAGACCTGAAGGTCTAATGCTGATTAGACCGAGAAGGTCGCCTTACTCGGGAAGCGCCTTAACGAACGAGCTTCGTTAGTTGGCCGAAGGAGGTGCCCCGTAAGGCGCTAGGATGCCCGAAGGTTTACGATAACGGGATTGGGTAGGTCATTATGATCGGAAAGTGATGACGAGACTAGGAAAGTCGGTCTACTCAAGAAGCGCTTTGGCGAATGAGCTAAGTCGGTCTACTCGGGAAACATTTTAGCGAAGCGAACGAGAGCACCCAAGCGAAGGGGTCGCTAAGAGACCTGAAGGTCTAACACTGATTAGACCGGGAAGGTAGCCCTACTCAAGAAGCGCTTATGTGAACGAGCTACTCTACCTCTACCAGTGTAGGCGTGTAGCCCCACATGGGAGAGGTCAATACATGCCATCTGAGCACAAGGTGCTTGGCATATTTTGTGTTGTTAATAATAATGGTATGCCACTCTCTAATATTGAATGATTGTGAAATATCATTAGAGACATAATTCAAACAAAATTTGAGTTAAAAATGAGTAATCTCATTCTAATAGATTGAATAGGACTGACTGTCTACCCCTGTCCAAACTAACTTTATTTTTTTGTTCTCATTAATATTTTATAGGATGGAGTGATCACAGATCTTGAAGAAACTAAGGATGCCATTATTAGGGCATCAGATCTGCAATTGTCAATTCTTATTGTTGGGGGAAGGAGCTGATTTCAAGGAAATGGAGGTATTCTTGTTTTCCTTGCCTTCATAATAAAGGTACATGCAGCTAGCCTTTTGTTTTACAAGAGTTTCTTTATATATATATATATATATATATATATATATATATATATATATATATATATCAATCTCTATTTCAGATTTTAGATGCTGATAAAGGGGATAGACTCAAAAATTCTCAGGGCAAGGTAGCATCCCGTGGGTTAAAGTACCTACGAGGTCCCTGTACTATAGCGTTTTGTTCAATTTAGTCCTTATACTTTTATTTTGTTCAATTTAGTCCCTATACTTTCAAAATTAGTGCAATTAAGGACAATAGTCAACGATGTTAATATTATCGTTAACTTAGGTTACGTGGCACTGATGATATTTATATTCCTACTCATATATTACTTTATAAATATTTAAAATCTATCATTTTTACCACCAATATATTAAATTAGTATGTCCAAAATAAATAATTACGACCATGTTCGTAATGAGATTTAGACAATTGTCCTTAGTTTTACCACTTTTTAAAGTAGAGGGACTAAATTGAACAAAATAAAGGTACAAGGACTAAATTGAACAAAACACTATAGTACAGGGACTTCATAGGTACTTTGATCCATCCCGTGATATAGTCCAATTTGTCCCATTATAATAACATTGGTTAAAATAAGAACCCATTATATATATATCAATCTCTATTTCAGATTTTAGATGCTGACAAAGGGGATAGACACAAAAATTCTCAGGGCAAGGTAGCATCCCGTGATATATTCCAATTTGTCCCATTATAACAACATTGGTTAAAATAAGAACCCATTTATAACAAGAAGAAATACAGAAGAAGAGTAATAGCATTAATTATTCAGCAGTTGAAATGTATGTATGCATTCACATTCTCTAGCATTATCCATTGCCAATTAGAATAGTTAAACCAACTAAAGCATCCTGCTCCTACAAATAGTTTCAACATAATGAACACTTGTTCTATGAACTGGCAAAATCATACTAAAGCAGTAATAAAAACCAATCATCTTAAACTTGTATTCCTCCACAAAGTAGCACTTGTCTTCCTCCACCAGCAACAACAAAAATCCAAAATATCAACCAACCAACTTTAACTTTGTACCCAATATGGGTTAGCAACTGAGCCATGCATAGAAGATGAAAAGATATACTGCCTCTTGTGCTCAATATCTAGTTGAGAAAACAGATTTAGTGTAGAAGAATCCTTTAACAAGATGGTTGGTTGCAGCACGAATCATCTCTGAACTAGAGTTGCTCAACCACCGTATTAGTACTTTTTGGAAAATAATGCCAGCCATTACGCGACTAGGAGCTGTCACAGGCTTAGGGTATAGTAAGAAAAAGAAGAGAAATCTGGGAGAGAAGAGCTCAGAGAAGGTTGGGGGAGAACTATGTTACAGATTGTGATGAGCTAGCGTCGGAAATTGGTGGCGCAGCTGCCGGAGTTGGGTCGTTGTTTGTTTTTACTTTTCACTTTGACCAATTTGTTTAATGATTTTTTTTTAAATAATTTTTGTAAATTAAATATGTCTGTATGCATTTTAAGAGTTAAATCCACTTTTGATCCTACATTTATTGCGCATTGGACACATATATTTTGCCCCCTTTTATTAATTTTGCTACATTTTGTCCAGACTTTATAAAAGTTGGACACTTTTAGTCCACCGTTTCTTTTGGCGTTAAGCAGCCATGAAGTAGAAGGGAATTTTGTCCTTTCATGTCAATTTTTTCATCAGCCTTCCATTTGTATACCACAATAATCTCGAGAAAAGGGTCAAATACACCCTTAAACTTTACCCCAAAGGTCAATTAGACCCCTAAACTTTAGAAAAGGTTAATTAAACCCTCAAACATGTTAAATTGAGTCAATGAAGCCCAAAAACCGATAAATGACCTGTTATTATAGGTCATTTCAATTCCGGCCATCGGCGACAAAATCTGGCGACCGGCGACAACATCCGGCCGTCCGGTCGTCTTCCACAGGAGAAGACGACCGGACGGCCGCCTTCTCCGGCCAGATCTGGCCGTCTCCTCCGATGGAAAACACGGCCAGATCTGGGAGTCTCCTCCCATGGAGAACACGACCAGATTTGGCCGTAGACGGCCGTCTTCTCCAATGGAGGAGACGGCCAGATCTGGCCGGAGAAGGCGGCCGTCCGGTCGTCTTCTCCTGTGGAAGACGACTGGACGGCCGAATGTTGTCGCCGGTGGTCGGATTTTGTCGCAGGTGGCCGGAATTCGTCGCCGGAATTGAAATGATCCATAATAACAGGTCATTTACCGGTTTTTGGGCTTCATGGACTCAATTTAACATGTTTGAGGGTTTAATTGACCTTTTCTAAAGTTTAGGGGTCTAATTGACCTTTGGGGTAAATTTTAGGGGTGTATTTGACCATTTTCTCCAATAATCTCAGGATCTCAGCCTTCAACTCATACTACCTCTGTTCTGAATAAAATCACACGAAAGGGCCTAATTGCCCTTCTATATTCTCGGCTATTTAACCTCAAAAGTAATGATAGACTAAATGTGTCCAATTTTTATAAAATCTGGATAAAATATGACAAAATTAATAAAAATGGACAAAATGTGTCTAATATACAATAAATGTAGGATCAAAAATGGATTTAACTTGCATTTTAATTACCAAAGAAAGAAGTTAAAATAATTGATTTTATTGCCAATTTAATCTTTATTTAGTATTCAAAGAAAGATGTGGCGTGAATGCAAAATGTTTCCATTGACAGTTTGGTTTATTATTTGTTGCGTCTGAAACTTAGCCACCAACCAATAACAAATTAACAATCATTTATCGTTTTCAAAAATGTGTAAAAGTAGTATAAAGTATAATTCCAATTATCTGCATATTATGGAAAAGAAATAGACATGTTCATAATTTATACTAAATAATAAAACAACAATATTAGACCAAATACTAATTTACCATTGAATTTAAACAAAACATGATATATTTAGCCTAATATTCTAACAGTTTATATGTGTGAATTTATTTATTGAAAGATTAGTCCAATGCATGATATTGGTAAGGCCACACAACAAAATATTGACCTTACAATTTCAACAACGTATAGTTTCACTATGTCCAAAACTTCCTCTTTTTATAATGTGAATAAATTAGTTAAATTAGATATTACCACTAACATGACATGATTCATTAAATAGTTTTTCAACATGGAGCTTTGCTTGAAGGCAAGAACAATTCAAATACACAAAATAGTAATATACTCGTCACACAAGTAAGCAATTTGTAAAAATAGATATATAGCTACAAAACCGGGTAAGTTTTCACTACACCGTTATATGTCATTGTCTGTTTTCTTTTGCACGCTACCAAAATCAAAATTGACGAAGGAAGACTAAATAATTAGGGGATGAATATGTCAATGACCATGTGATTTGGTGGCATTAAGTGAGTCTTTTAATTGAAAAATCATGGGTTTGAGTTTTAGTGGGAGTAGTATTAATGGGCAGCTCAATTGGTCATAGAGGTAAAAGTTAAAAAGAATGACCAGTGATTGAGTCTCACCAGCGGCAGTGTGAGAGCAACCTCTCAAAACGAGGGGGGCTCCTTGTGCGCAGTAAGCAAAAATCTAGCTCTAGCCTCAGTGGTTTATGTTCAGTTGAGTTACTATGATTTATATCATCCCAGATACTCTGAGAGCCCTTAAGGTTGGGTTCAACCTTTTGGAAAGAATACATATTGTTCCTTTTTATAATTAAAAGTGAAAACGTAAAGAGATAATCAAAAGTTAACTTAGTCCTAGTTTTACTATTTTGGAATGTCTAAAAACCTACTCCTAAGTCCTAAACAAAGTAAAACTTGAAACCTAGGGAGATAATTTGATGTGTGAAAGCATCCACGAATTCAAAAGTGAGCCATCACAAGCATGAATTTGGATAAGGTTAAAACAATGTGTGGAAGTATATATCTAGAGATTTAATGTGAAAGAGGATTTTGTAACCACATCTACGATTCAAATAAGAGCCAATAATATTAGGCTCTTAATTGAAACAAAAAAAAAATGTCGATAGTATTGTTTCTTAAAATGAATGGTTCATATTATTTTGATTTTAGTATTTTTTTTAAAATAATTTTCTTTATTTACCCTCTATTATATTATTTTCTTCCCTTAAATAACCTAACTCCATTAGTATAAACTTTAGTAACGGAATATTCTGTTAACTATTTATTATTTTTAATTTACTCATTAGTTTTTATAAGAAAGGTCTTAGATTCGAACCACATCCCAATTTGAGTTGGCATAATTGTTAAACATATACTACAAATATGTTAAAATATATTTAAAAAATATGTAATATAAAATTTAACATAAACTTTGTTTAAATAATTAGTCCGGCTAAATACATAACATTCAAAGTTAAGCATCAAAGATTATAAATCAAGAACTTTAAAAATCATTTGATTTTTATGAATTAAAAAAAAAAAAACAAATTTAGGTTATGTTTTGTTTTTTGTTTAATTAATCTTCTTTTGATTATTTAGATCAGAACAAACTTAATATTTCAATTATACTTTTGTATTATTGGTATGATTTAGGTCGTTATGGTACTAATATTTTTTGTATGTATTTTTATAATGGTACAATTGTACATTACTTTACAAATATTATACTATTTTTTTTATCGGACAAAATTATTCTTACATCATTGTCAGGCTTGCGTGACCTAACTACAAAGTTGTTGATCATAAAAACTAGGGGTGGGCCTTTCGGGTTTCGGTTCAGTTTTTTCAGTTTCGGTTTCAATTTTTCGATTTTAAAAAAGTTAAACCGTTCGGTTCGGATTTAATTCGGTTCGGTTTAAGATCCCCAAATTTCAACATTTTCTTATTTTTCGAACATACTACCAAACAATACATATTCACATAATCACATAATCCAAATCCAAACTCTAAACATTATATTACAAAATAGCAATACAAAATTCAAACACAATACTAAGTACTAATTACCAAACATCAGTTAACTTTTTGGCACAACCGACTCTTCAGTTGCTTTCATCCATCTCTCTATCATCTTCATCTTCCTCATTTTAGAGACTCCTCTAGCAAATTTTAGGGTTCAAGATTTGGTAAGCTTCATCCTCTCTTTCTTCATTCCATCCTCTAGTTTAAGTTATTAAAGTGATGTATTTATGTGGGAGATTTGTTGTGTTTTGAATTGAAATGTTGAAGTGGTTGCTATGCTTTGGTTGGGAGAAAGAAGATGGAAAGGTGTAGAAGAAGAGCTTAGGAGTGGATTTTACAAGAAGAAGATAGATTGAGGTATAAACCATGGACTCTCAAAACCTATTATTTTGGTATTGTGTTGTTAGTGATGATATTGATGCGTTGTTGGTGCTTTGATGCTTAGAAATGATGAATAATGCATGTTTTTGTGTTTATGAAATGTTGGTATTGTCATCTTCTTGTTCGTGAATGCTTGGTGAAGTGAGTGGAGTGTTCTATAATATGAAAGTAGGATTTTGTTCATGTGATGCAAATTTCACAAACTCACTGTCAAGAGTTCTTTTTTGACCTTGTGGAGCTTACCAACGGACTCTGGAGGGATCCACTGGTAAGCACCGCCACCTAGCGGACCCGAGTGACGGACCACGAGGGGATTCGTCACTCAAGGTCGTGGCTTAGTGGAGCCAAGTGGCGGAGTTCCTCAAGCTCCGTCACCTAGCCCCGCCAGGTTATTTTGAGAGGGTCGGGCCCTTGAGGCTCAGCCCA